AATATCTCCACAATCTGATCCCCACTTTCCTGGTAGAAAAAAAACCATCCCTTTGAAACAATGCAGGCCTACTAAGAGTGACAGAATGAGTTCAGTCAGAGGCTGATAGATGACTGGAACCCACTCCCAGAGAGACACACAATGAGGCATGGTCAAGGAAACAAACCCGTCACAGCCGACAGATAACAGACTGTATCCAGCCAGAAGCTGGTAAATGACTGGAAATCCCTCCCCAAGGAGAAGCCCAAAGCTGCAGAAATGTACGCAGAGATGAGGTCAAAGAAAGATCCCCTCACAGCTGATGGGCAAAGTGGATTCAGACATTCAGGCAGAGACTAGCAGATGACTGGGGCTCACTCCCCCACACCAGGAGAAACACAAAACAGCAGAAACAGATAGGGATGTGGTCAAAGACGTGAAAGCTTAGAGGCAGAGTGTGTTCAGTCAGAGGCTGGTAGGTAACTAGAACTCACTCCCCTAGGAGAAACGAGAAGCCGCATAGCCACAGCGAGACATGCAAGGTCAAGGAAAGATGAGGTTGCTGAATCACCGAGCTTACAGCACGAATGAAAGGAAATTTTGTCAAACTAGAAGAACTTTGGCAGATTTCTCATCAATGACACATCTAACATGTGTACAGTGTGCTTCACCTGTTCACCTGTCAGGGTGCAATCAATTACACTAACACATCGCTTTCTAATTGAAAGGGCTTCCAGGTTTTGAATGCATTCAGTGGTGGAGCCGCACCACATGACACTGGTTCGGATGAGTTCATGTGTAAACTTGAATTTAGAACATACATCAACAAAAGAATGGGTGAGCTGCATTGACTCACGTGAGTGCCTTCTTTGATCACGGGTTTTAAAATGATTAATTTACTCGGGTCAAAGAGACCATTGGTGACGTTGGGATCGCAGTTGCTGGCATTGAGACGCTCGTGGTCGTCTGAAACGATATATACTTGGGTTGACATGGTTCTGATTTTCCCAGCTTTGTCATAATTTTTTCTCATTTTTATTCGGCTGCGTCTATTACCTCACAAGTTCAGTTAAGTCACGAGTTGAGGCCGGGCAAGTCGAGACTTGTAGTGACCGGGAAAGCGAGGGAAATCCCTTTTTCTTTGTGTGAGAGTCACGGGGTCAAAGGTCTAGGTTGTTTGTGCGAGAGTCTGTGCAGGCCGGCGCACGTCGTGAGTTGTTATAATTGACAAAAAGTGCACCGGGGCCAAAGGTCAAGGTGAGTGAAGTGGGAAACCCCAGCAAAGAGGAGGAAATGGTAGAAAAGAGAGTTGATGTTGAACCGACTAATTCCTTACTACTAGTTGAATGTGACTTTGACACTGGTCTCTGGGTCATTTTTTAACTGCTCAATGACACGTATATCTTCACTTCTAACTGGACAACGAGAGAGATTCAGATCCTTCAGGGCCTTGAACATCTTCACCTGATCACAAAATGAAGCTTCTGCACCGCGTAGGTTGCTACCAGAAAGATTTAACTTAACCAAGTGGGGTAAATCCTTAAGTGACTCAGCAACATGTACCATGTCCTGTCCATTCAATGAGCAGTCACTCAAATCCAGGTCCTGCAGTGCCTTGCACTGCCCCAACTGCTTGCACCATGATGCTGCTGTGCCACCTAGGTTATTACTAGAAAGACTCAATCTAACCAAGTTGGGTAGACCAGTGAGTGACTCAGCAACATGTACCATGTCCTGTCCTTTTAGTCTGCAGCAGATCAGATACAGGTGCTGCAGTGCCTTGCACTTCCCAAGCTGCGTGCACCATAATGCTGCTGGATCATCCTCAGTAAGACATACTGTAGCAAAGAAAAATGGATCACGGAATGCTGCTTGGTCACTCGGGATATTATTATTGGAAAGATCCAATCTAACCAAGTTGGGTAGACCATTGAGTGCATTGGTAACATGTGCCATGTCCTGTCCGTTCATTTCGCAGTTACTCAAGTCCAGGTCCTGCAGTGCCTTGCACTGCCCCAGCTGCTTGCACCATGATGCTGCTGTACCACCCAGGTAGTTACGAGAAAGATGCAATCCAACCAAGTTGGGTAGACCACTGAGTGACTCAGCAACATGTGCAATATCCTGACCTTTCAATGAGCATTTATTCAAGTTCAGTACCTTGCACTGCCCTACCTGCTTCCACCACGATGCTGCTCTGCCACTAAGGATATTACCAGAAAGATTCAATGTACCCAAGTTGGGTAGACGACTGAATATCTCAACAATATATGATACATCATTCAAACTGACCCTCACCTCTACTTCAGGAAGGCCAGAATGGCCTCCCTTCTTTGCCTGTTCAGCAATACGCTGCACGAAGTATCTAACCAAGTTTCGAGTATCATTGTTAAAATCACAGTCAATGAAAATGCGATCAGGTAGAAACGAACGTATGAATTCTTCAGGAGGCAAGCGTTTGCACTGACCTTCAAAGTAACAGTGAAGTGCCAACTGACCTAACCAACTGCCAAATGACAAANTGCCCAAGCTGCGTGCACCATAATGCTGCTGGATCATCCTCAGTAAGTCTTACTGTAGCAAAGAAAAATTGATCACCGAATGCTGCTTGGTCAGTCAGGATATTATTATTAGAAAGATCCAATCTAACCAAGTTGGGTAGACCACTGAGTGCATTGGTAACATGTGCCATGTCCTGTCCGTTCATTTCGCAGTTACTCAAGTTCAGGTCCTGCAGTGCCTTGCACTGACCAAGCTGCTTGCACCATGATTCTGCTGTACCACCTAGGTCATTCTGAGAAAGATGCAATCTAACCAGGTTGGGTAGACCACTGAGTGACTCAGTAGCATGTACCATGTCCTGTCCATTCAATGAGCAGTCACTCAAGTTCAGGTCCTGCACTGCCTTGCACTGCCCCAACTGCTTGCACCATGATTCTGCTGTACCACCCAGGTCACTGCAAGAAAGATTCACTGTAACCAAGTTGGGTAGACCACCAAGTGACTGAGCAACATGTACCATGTCCTGTCCATTCAATTTGCAGTCACTCAAGTTCAGGTCCTGCACTGCCTTGCACTGCCCCAACTGCTTGCACCATGATTCTGCTGTACCACCTAGGTCACTGCAAGAAAGATTCACTGTAACCAAGTTGGGTAGACCACTGGGTGACTCAGCAACATGCAACACGTCCTGTTCATTCAATGAGCAGTCACTCAAGTTCAGATCCTGCAGTGCCTTACACTCTCTAAAATGGTTGAACCATGATGCTACTGTACCACCCAAGTAATTCTTAGAAAGCTTAAATGTAACCAAGTTGGTTAGACCGCTGAGTGATTCACAAACATCTACCATTTCCTGTTCTATCAATGGGCAGCCACTCAAGTCCAGGTGCTGCAGTGCCTTGCACTGCCCCAACTGCTTGGGCCAGGACGCTGCTTTACCAGGTAGTATAAGAACAGAAAGATGCAATCCAACCAAGTTGGGTAGACCACTGAGTGCCTCAATAACATTTGATTCATTCAACATTACCCAGATTTCCACTCTCACTTCTTTAGCAATGTCAGTATTCCCGCTGTCCTTTGCCTGCTCAGCAATACACTGCACAAAGTATTTAATCGAGTTACAAATATCACTGTTAAAAATATCACTGTGGATGGAAATGTCATCAGTCAGAAATGAATCTATGAATTCTTTGGGA